CCACATAGCTAGACCATCCCAGGTTCAGCTGTGCTTGCTGTGAAACTCTCAATCCAGAGCATTTCAGCTTGCTGTTTTTTGTCAGGGTGGGACTGGCCGAGCCCGATCACCTGGCTCCCTGCCTCAGACCACCTTTTTTTTTTTTTTTTTTTTTCCCAGTCGAAAGGGTGACTGTCTCTCAGGCGTCCCAGTCACCAGTTTAAACGGCACCCAGATATGTGTGATTTCTTGTGTGTAGCCCCACTGCACCAGCTGAAACAGCCGCTGGAGTTTCGTGGTGCTTTTTTGCTGGGGAATCTCCTGGCCTAGCTCCGTTTCGGTCCCGTTTTATTTAGTTGCATGGGCAACTCTGTCTCCCAGGCATTCCAGTCCCCAGTTGAAAAGGCGCCTGGATTTGTGTGAGACTTTGTGCAGAGACTCACTGTGCCGGCTGAAACAGCCACACTGGGGGTTCGTGGCGCTTTTTGCCCAGGAATCTCCTTGCCTGGCTCCCTGTTTCAATCTCCTTTTTTTCAGTTGAATGGGCGACTCTGTCTCCCAGGCACTCCAATTGCCAGCTAAAACGATGCCCAGACCCATGTATTTTGTAAGGAGACCTGCCACACAGGCCAATACGGCAGCACTGGCGACCCATGGGGCCCCTCTGCCTACGAATTTCCTGGTCTGTGGGCAATAAAAAATTCGGCATCCACTCACCCTCTGCTCTCGCTGGCAGCTGCAATCCAGAGCTGCTCCTATTCAGCCATCTTGACTCTCATTATCTTTTTTTTTTTTTTTTTTTTAATTGTACAGTGATTTGCCAACTAAAGACCTGGCAGCAAAATTCATGGGAATTTTTTTCAATAATGTGGTAATTGAAATATTAACCACATTGTTGGACTGATTTTATTTAACTTAACTGTGGTAACTGATATTTATGTATATTGGAACTGTGCAAAGCAAGGACTGCCTATTTTTTAAAAAGAAAAATACTCCTTATTAGTTCACAAAACAGTTAACTTTTAATCCAATTTCGTTAACTACTATCTAAGCCTAATCCTGAATCAAACAAAAACTCAACTTCTCCCTGGAGTTAGAATAATGTTTGGAGATAATTTAATGCAGAATTCTTCAGATTAGGATTTGCATAGCACAAAGACATTCTAGTTTTTTTTTTAGAGACAGGGTTTTGCTCTGTTGCTCAGGCTATAAGTGTGGTGGCAATGATCACAGCTCACTGCAGCTTCAATATCTGGGGTGCATGTGATCCTCCTGCCTTAGCCTCCCAAGCAGCTAGGGCCACAAGCACACATCACCATGCCCAGTTAATTATTTTATTTTTTGTAGAGACATGATCTCATTTTGTTACCCAGACTGGTCTGGAACTCCCGCCCTCAAGGGATCCTTCTGCTTTGGCCACTCAAAAGTGCAAGGATCACAGGCATGAGCCTCCATGCCCAGTTGACACTCTTTTGGGAATTTAAATCCCCTCTCCTCATTTCAGTAGTATTGAGGTCTGCAAAGAGTGAAGTTGCAGACAAAACAGTCATCACAAGGCACATGACTGTTTATGTAACTTTTTCCATAGCAGCCAGAACAATGTTTACACCTCAGTAAAACGGTAGCATCTATTCCACTAAGGTTGTTTTAGTTTATTTCCTAATGCATTTATTTCATAAATTTGTTTGGTAAAGGCTCTAAACAAAATTTGTATCAACTTTTATGTTTGTTTGTGTTTACAAAATAGAAAATTGTCAGCACTAATTTAAGTCAACATGAATAGTCACACAAATTTTTCCCCTCTATAAAGGGTGCATATTCAAGGAGACTTCAAAAAGTTTGTGGAAAATGGAATTAAAAGATAAAAATATAAACTATATTTCTGAACATTAGCTCTATTGAGTTCAAGACACTTTTGTAAGTGATGATACCTGCTCTCTATCCCTAAAAAACTGAAAGTTCTGGGCATTTAACCATGTCAGTGCAGTTTTTTTTTTTTTTTTTTTTTTCTTAACATTATTAACTGAACAAAAATGTACTGCTTTAATTTTTTTTTTTTTTTAAGATTAGGAAACAAAAAGTCAGAAGGTGCCAAACTGGGACTGTAGGATGGTTGCCTAGTGATTTCCATCAAAACTCTTGCAAAATTGCCCTGTTTATTGAGAGTGATGAGCAGGAACATTGTTGTGGTGAAGAACTCTCTTGTGAAGCTTTCTCAGGCATTGTTCAGCTAAAGCTTTGGCTAAGTTTCTCAAAACATTCTCATAATAAGCAGGTATTACCATTCTCTGGCCCTACAGAAAGTCAACAAGGAAAATGCTTTGAGCATCCAAAAGCTGTTGCCATGGCTTCTGCTCTCATCCAGTCCACTTGTGCTTTTACTGAACTACTTCTATATCTTGGTAACCATTGCTTTAATTGTGCATCATCTTCAGGATTGCACTGATAAAGCCATGTTTCATCTCCTGTTACAGTTTTTCAATGAAGTGCTCAAAGATCATGATCCCACTTATTAAACATTTCCATTGAAAGCTCAGCTTTTGTCTGTAGCTGATCTGGGTGCAATGGTTTTGGTACCTATCAGGTGTAAAGTTTGCTGAACTTTTCCAGTCAGATTGCGTAAGGTGAGCCAACTGAGATGTCTATGGTGTTCACTGTGATTTCTGCTGTTAATTGTTGGTTTTCTTCACTTAGGCCATGAACTAGATTAATTTTTTTCTCACAAACTGATGTGGATGATCTGCCACTGTGGGCTGCTTCTTCAACATTACCTTGTCCCTTCTTAAAACGAGTTATCCATTTGCAAACTGATTTCTTGGAGCATTGTCCCCATACTTTTCATAAAGCATCAATTATTTCACCATTCTTCCACCTCAGCATCAACATAAATTTGATATTTTTTCTTGCTTCCATTTTAGCAGAATTCATGTTGCTCTGACAGCCTCTTTTCAAACTGATGACTTATTCTTCTTAGTGCTTCAAACTAGATCCTTATTATATACATCTTCAACTTCTTGATCAAATGAGTATGCCAAATGATATTCTCTAAGAAAAATGCCCTTCAATTTAATTCCTTCCCTGCATATCGTGAGTAATTATCTTCCAAGATCCATGTATCTTTTCCTGACATCTCTGAGAGTATAATTCCTTATTTCCTTCATTGTGGCAAAGTGTTTCAGAAAAGGGTAGCTTGAATTAAAAGTCAGCATATCCTATTTGACTCCCACTCCTCTGGTATCACATACCTATAGCCAACCATGCCAAGAGCTTCTCTATTATCTCCATATGGGAGAACCCTTCCTCCTGATATCCTCCAGTTTCAGAGACAGCACCTGGAGACCCATTGGCAGGCTCCCGGATTTGCCTCAATTTTGGTCCTGCCTCTCTGCTTTGCATTTTTAGGCTCAGCATCACAATAAAGGCAATGGTGCCAGACTGGGCCAGAATAGGTGAAAACAAGAGGAAAATAAACCAGTTGCAGCAAAACCCACTATCCCACAACTTTTTTTTTTTTTTTTTTAAATTGGGCTAGTTTCTCAGTGTTCCTGAACCAGAAGATTTCATTAAAGTTGATTTATTAACCTTTTATTGAAAGATTGCTAAAGAAACTAATCTCTGATTTATAATGTGTACAAAACTACTATAAATATTTCAGTAGTAACCCAAGAGCCAGTAACTGCTAGCAATGTTTATTAAGTTTCTAAGGAGATGAGAATGAGATGCATCATAAGAGAGGTAAGACAGTAACCCAGTAGATTAACAATTACACTGATTCTGTGTGCTGATAAGTGTGAGGAAGGATTTTTAAACTCATGGAAAGAGAAAACAAGTAGTGAAACAATAGGTCATTATACTCAATTTTAAGAAATCATATCACATTAAAGTTCTATAAATGAGATATTTTGTTGCCTTCAGTAACAACATATTTTTTGCAGCATTTTTGAACCTGCACTTGAAAGACTTTCCAATTCCTCTCTCTGTGATATTATTTTTACTTGGATGCAGTTTTGAACTACTAAGCTTTACATCTTATGAGGTGTGTATTGTAAATGAGTATTTTACACTATTTATTTGAGAATCATATAAATTCAGGGATGCCATTTAAAATTTGCAAAAAATATTTATCCCTTCACTATTCTGCCAGTGGATAGATGATTGCGATGTGGATAGCATCAGATCGGATGTAAAAAAAGGAGCCAGGCCTGTGAAAGCTGAGACCCAGTTAAACATAGTGAAGACAAAGCCTAGGTCTAAAACTACATAGTCAATTCCAAATGAGTACACATACAGCTACTGAAAGTATTAGTGGCCGATGAATGTTAAACAGATTTTTAAAACTTGGAAAAAATGGCTAATGACATAAGAGCTCAGGGAGACTTTGTATTGCTGGTACAGGACTTGAGTAGCAAAAGAATTATAATATTGAACTAATCTATTTCCTCAATTAAGACTGTTTCACAGGATTCCTGTTAGAAGAGAAACTAGTGTGTTAAGTGTGCAGATTTGGCCCAGGGACCATAATTTGCCAGTGTCTGCCCTAGTGGATCAGAATGGATGTGAGAACTTGCCTGAAATGATTGATTTTCCCAACCAAATTTAGCCAGTCATGTTAAAAATTTTATACAAAACCTGTATTCATGTAAGAACCAGAAGCAGTTTACTATTTTACATGTCATAACAGGTTTTATCATCATATGATTTTGACACAAATGCAATTTGAGGTACTGCTATAAGTTTTACTATTTGTCAGCAACTCCTTCAAAGGAAGATACCAATGTTAAGACCCAAGAAGTTTCTAGGATTTTTCTCTACTTGCCAGCTAATAAGCTAGCCTGCCAGTTTCATGATCCCAGCAAAAGACATGGGACTCTTGGACCAGAGGAAAAAGGTTTTATTATCCACAGCAATAGCAGTAACCAGAGTATGAACATTTTTTTTGTGCCTGTTTCCTGAACCCTGATCCCAAAGAGAGAAGCAAAGAGGGCCAGGTGAAATCTGCACCTACAGTGGGTTATGTATCCGACCATAGGAGAAGAAATCTAAGCTTAGAGAACCTGAATCCTCTATAATGGGTAGTAAGCTCATTTGCATTCTTGTCTGTTCTTCCACACACATCTTCTGTATAAGCCATTGCCAATTATTTGTAGTTTTTACAATTTGATACAATCACTTACTCATTTGTGAATGTTGTGCATGATTATCCACCTACTTGAAATCTCTTTCTTCATCTTATATGCCTGAAAATCTGCTGCATATTCTCCCCCATGTCAGTGTACTTACTATACCTGTTCTTTAAATAAAATAAATGTCTCCAAGGGAGATACTATCTTTATTCCACTGGACAGTAAAGTAAACCTGTCCTTTTCTCTTGAGGAAGACACTTGCTCTGCCTTCTAAGCCATACCAACATTCATGAAAAGATAGTCTGGAAGAAAAAAATCAATGCCTGCATTCATAAACCATGGAGAAACACAAGAGACACATGGAGAATTATCTCCCAAATGCAAAGCTATCACTAACACAGTAGGTACTCAGTGTTTCCGTAATAAGTGAATGTTCAATGGGTACCTACAATAGGATTTACACATTTCAACTAAATATCTCATGTTAAACGTTGTTAATTAGTTATTGCATGAATTGCATTAACTTTCCAGTCTCTGTCCCTCCTATTCTGCCACACGTCATCTGTATAATACATGGCCAATCATTTGTAGTTTCTAGAATTTGATATCACTTACTCCTTTGTGTGATGCATCATTTAAAAATTGTCTTTTTCTGCTGTTAGATTTAGGAGTGCCTAGCATGTATTCTATTCTAATAGAGAGATGAATAAATAAGATGATATATTTGTATAATATTAGGTCCAAAGATACGCAAAAGACATACAATGGATGAGTCCAGACTTATTTTTTCGTCTATTTATACCAGTAATTTTCTTTACTGCTGCATTTAACATGGATATATACACGTTTCAAAAGTTATTTTGGCAGGTAAGCATTCTTTTTTGGTAATGTCATTCATTCATGAACCACATATTATCTATGTTCAAATTAAATTTTTTTTCCAAAATAGGAAACAAAGGATAAAGGGTATGGAATTAATAAATTCAGCTTCATAATTTAGTGAATAAATCTTGAAAATTATCTAACATATCAAAGACCCAGGGGGAAAATTATGGGAAAAAAAACAGTAATTCTGAAAATCTGACTCACATAATTTCATACCAGATATAATTTTAACCCTGAAATGCTACAGGAGTGCTATGAGAAAGTGTTTTAGCTCCAGTAAGAGGAAATTGTTAAGAAAAGTCTTGTTTCAAATACCTGTGTTCTAAAGCTTCCTACATTCATGTCTAAGAGAATAAAAGCAGAGAAGAAAACACAGAAGCAGCTAACCTCTAATTTAAAAACTATAACAAATTTTTTAACATGTGGGATTTGAACTATATCAGGGAAAGGCCTCAAGAGAAAATACTCCAAATCATGAGCAGGTGTACATTTCTTTCAAAGTAATCAAAATAGTTTTGTAAATACAGGTCATTACCTAAACTGCATTAGAAACAAATAATTTATTAGAAAAATTCATAGTTTTAAACCAAATCCAGACACATGGAGTTGAAACAAATGACAGAAAGAAGGAATAAAAAGGAATAGACTTAAAAGTGGTTTGAGTTGCCTCAGCTAAGCTCTGCCAAGCCATGTCCTGCATCTTTAGTCAAGTGGAAGTCAGCTGACACAGAATGACACTCCTGTGTCTGCTGGTGGGTACTGTTGGTGCTGGCTGATTCTCTATCTCCAATAATCCTGAGTATCTTCTTCTTAAAATGGACTACAAAAGCAGTCTAATGTTTCTAATTGTAAAATTTCTTTGCAGGTACTTTTAATTACAGTTCCCGGGTTTTTGGTTAATTATATCTTAGTTCTTTGGTATCTGGCATCTGTAAATAAATTATTTTTGGAGCCCACCCCAAGGTTGTTATTTTCAGCTATCCTTGTGAGTTCAGATCCCATGCTAACTGCAGCTTCTATAAGAGACCTTGGTAGGTATATTATTCTCTTTTTCTGTATTTATAATATCATATTTCATAATGAATTTGTATTTGTTTTAACATCTTTTGTTTTTGGTAGCTTTTCACTATGAGAAGTCAGGTAGTGAGGGATTGGGGATTGAGGATTAAGCAGAGATTCTGGAGGTGATGTTTAGGGCAGAAGAAATGCCAGTAATGGGCTTACTTAGTGTCCAAAAAAGTATACCTAACTGTGGAATAGGGGAGGGGATTGGTTAACTTTTGACTGTATACCTTGACCCAACAGAACAGTTCTGGGACATTGTTAATATTGCATATACACTATGGTGACATATCTGTTACCCAGTATTTCTTTTCCTTTGAAAAGAATCATTAGGACAATGCCATTTAAAAAATATTTTGCCTTTGGAGTCAGTGTCACCCTTACATCTGAAAGTCTAAAAAGTCAAAAAATGATAAAATCACCAATCATATAGTGTTCTGATTGTATACTGTTTTAAGAAAAATAAGTCTGTATTTAAAAGTAAAATACCACTTCCATTTAGCCCAGAAAAGCAAAACAATGCAACAGTCTCGTGTAAGAAAAACAATAACTTAATTGTCCCCCTCCATCATTTCTTAATGAGAGCTAGAAAAATTGCTTTAAAATAGAATATTAATATGGCACACCCATATTTGCACACACACAACACACATACCCTTTTCCATTTTAATTTCACTTTGTAGCCAGCTAAAGGGGAAATAGCTATCCAGGGCAAGTAGAAATGGAGTCGAGGAGACACATCAAGTGTAAATATGTTGATAAATGAGAGCTGAGCCTTCAAGACAAAGGACATTAAGAGAGTGAGATGACACTTTAGAAGAAGATGCCAACATCTGCCACCCAAACCTGGATTCTTGTCTTCCTCCCCATACTGTCAGCCCATATCCCTGCCTCCTTGTGACTGTCAGTACCAGCATTTTCTCTTCTATGTTTGAGAGACTCTCATGATACCTGAGAGCTGATTTCACTCGTTTACAAGAGTGCTATGAGAAAGTATTTTAGCTCCAGTAAGAGGAAATTGTTAAGAAAAGTCATGTTTTAAATACCTATGTTCTAAAGCATAGGTTTTTAACTTGTCTAATTTTGTTATCTTGTAATCTAGTATTCCACTGATTTTCTAGCTTGCCATTGTTGAACTTAATTTATGCAGAGTATCTTGCCAGTCTATTTTCTTTTTTTTTTAACTGCATTTTTCTTTTTGGGGTACATGTGAACAACATACAAGATGGTTGCATAGGTACACACATGGCAGTGTGATTTGCTGCCTTCCTCCCCATCACCTATATCTGGCATTTCTCCCCATGTTATCCCTCCCCAAATCTCCAGCCCCCGCTCTCCCTACCCTACTTCCCCCCGACAGACCCCAGTGTGTGATGCTCCCCTCCCTGTGTCCATGTGTTCTCATTGTTCAACACCTGCCTGTGAGTGAGAACATACAGTGTTTGATTTTCTGTTCTTGTGTCAGTTTGCTGAGAATGATGGTTTCCAGGTTCATCCATGTCCCTAAAAAGGACACGAACTCATCATTTTTTACAGCTGCATGGTATTCCATGGTGTATATGTGCCACATTTTCCATGTCAAGTCTATCATCTGTGGGCATTTGGGTTTGTTCCAAGTCTTTGCTATTGTAAACAGTGCTGCAATGAACATTTGTTTGCATGTGTCCTTATAGTAGAACAATTTATAATCTTTTGGATATATACCCAGTAATGGGATTGCTGGGTCAAATGGAGTTTCTATTTCTAGGTCCTTGAGGAATCTCCACACTGTCTTCCACAATGGTTGAACTAATTTACACTCCCACCAACAGTGTAAAAGTGTTCCTATTTCTCCACATCCTCTCCAGCATCTGTTGTTTCCAGATTTTTTAATGATCGCCATTCTAACTGGTGTAAGATGGTATCTCAATGTAGTTTTGATTTGCATTTCTCTAATGACCAGTGATGATGAGCATTTTTTCATGTGTTTGTTGGCCTCATATATGTCTTCTTTCATAAAGCATCTGTTCATATCCTTCGCCCACTTTTGAATGGGCTTGTTTGTTTTTTCTTGTAAATCTGTTTTAGTTCTCTGTAGATTCTGGATATTAGCCCTTTGTCAAATGGGTACATTGCAAAAATTTTTTCCCATTCTGTTGGTTGCCAATTCACTCTAATTACTGTTTCTTTTGCTGTGCAGAAGCTGTAGAGTTTGATTAGGTCCCATTTGTCTATTTTGGCTTTCGTTGCCAATGCTTTTAGTGTTTTGGTCATGAAGTCCTTGCCTATGCCTATGTCCTCAATGGTTTTGCCTAGATTTTCTTCTACGGTTTTTATGGTGTTAGGTCTTACGTTTAAGTCTTTAATCCATCTGGCGTTAATATTAGTGTTAAGTGTCAGGAAGGGGTCCAGTTTCTGCTTTCTGCACATGGCTAGCCAGTTTTCCCAACACCATTTATTAAACAGGGAATCCTTTCCCCATTGCTTGTTTTTGTGAGGTTTGTGAAAGATCAGATGGTTGTAGATGTGTGGTGTTGCCTCCGAGGCCTCTGTTCTGTTTCATTGGTCTATATGTCTGTTTTGGTACCAGTATCATGCTGTTTTGATTATTGTAGTGTTGTAGTATAGTTAGAAGTCAGGTAGTGTGATGTCTCCAGCTTTGTTCTTTTTGCTTGGAATTCACTTGGCTATGGTGGCTCTCTTTTGGTTCCATATGAACTTTAAGGTGTTTTTTTCCAGTTCTGTGAAGAAGTTCATTGGTAGCTTGATGGGGATAGCGTTGAATCTTTAAATTACTTTGGGCAGCATGGCCATTTTCACAGTGTTGATTCTTCCTAACCATGAGCATGGAATGTTTCTCGATCTGTTTGTGTCCTCTCTTATTTCGTAGAGCAGTGGTTTGTAGTTCTCCTTGAAGAGGTCTTTTACATTCTTAGTTGTATTCCTAAATATTTTATTCTCTTTGTAGCAACTGTGAATGGCAGTTCATTCTTGATTTGGCCCTCTTTAAGTCTGTTACTGGTGTATAGGAAAGCTTGTGATTTTTGCACATTGATTTTGTATCCTAACACTTTGCTGAAGTTACTTATCAGGTTCAGGATATTTTGGGCTGAGACAATGGGGTCTTCTAAATATACAATCATGTTGTCTGCAAATAGAGACAATCTGACTTCCTCCTTTCCCAATTGAATACCCTTCCTTTCTTTTTCTTGCCTGATTGCTCTGGCCAGAACTTACAATACTATATTGAATAGGAGTGGTGAGAGAGGGCACCCTTGTCTAGTGCCAGATTTCAAAGGGAGTGTTTCCAGTTTTTGACCATTCAGTATGATTATAGGCTGTGGGTTTGTCATAAATAGCTTTTATTATTTTGTGATACAATTCCATCAATACCTGGTTTATTGAGGGTTTTTAGCATAAAGACTGTTGAATTTTGTCGAAGGCCTTCTCTGCATCTATTGAGATAATCGTGTTTTTTGTCTTTGGTTCTGTTTATGTGGTGAATTACGTTTATAGACTTCCATATGTTGAGCCAGCCTTGCATCCCTGGGATGAAGCCTACTTGATCATCGTGGATAAGCTTTTTGATGTGCTGATGCAATCGCTTTGCCAGTATTTTATTGAAGGTTTTTGCGTCTGTGTTCATCATGGTTATTGGCCTGAAGTTTTCTTTTCTTGTTGAGTCTCTGCCGGGTTTTGGTATCAGGATGATGTTGGTCTCATAAAATGATTTGGGAAGGATTCCCTCTTTTTGAATTGTTTGGAATAGTTTCAGAAGGAATGGTACCAGCTCCTCTTTGTATGTCTGGGAGAATTCGGCTGTGAACCCATCTGGACCTGGGTTCTTTTTGGTTGGTAGGCTATGAATTTCTGCCTCAGCTTCAGCCCTTGTTATTGGTCTATTCAGGGTTTCAACTTCTTCCTGGTTTAGGCTTGGGAGGATACAAGTGTCCAGGAATTTATCCACTTCTTCCACATTTACTAGTTTATGTGCATAGACTTGTTCGTAATAATCTCTGATGATGTTTTGTATTTCTGTGGAATCTGTGGTGATATCCCCTTTATCGTTTTTTATTGCATCTATTTGATTTTTCTCTCTTTTCTTTTTTATTAATCTGGATAGTGGTCTGTATATTTTGTTGATATTTTTGAAAAACCAGCTCCTGGATTTACTGATTTTTTGAAGGGTTTTCTGTGTCTCTATCTCCTTCAGTTCTGCTCTGATCTTAGTTATGTCTTGTCTTCTGCTAGCTTTTGAGTTTTTTTGATCTTGCTCTTCTAGCTCTTTCAATTTTGATGATAGAGTGTCAATTTTAGATCTTTCCTTGCTTCTCATGTGGGGATTTATTGCTATAAATTTTCCTCTAGACACTGCTTTAAATGTGTCCCAGAGATTCTGGTATGTTGTGTCTTCATTCTCATTGGTTTCTAAGAACATGTTTATTTCTGCCTTCATTTCATTGTTTTCTCAGTCCACATTCAAGAGCCAGTTGTTCAGTTTCCATGAAGCTGTGTGGTTCTGAGTTAGTTTCTGAATCCTGAGTTCTAACTTGATTGCACTGTGGTCTTAGAGACTGTTTGTTATGATTTCTATTCTTTTGCATTTGCTGAGGAGTGATTTACTTCCAATTATGTGGTCAGTTATAGAGTACATGTGATGTGGTGCTGAGAAAAATGTATATTCTGTGGATTCGGGGTGGAGAGTTCTGTAAATGTCTGTTAGGTATGCTTGGTCCAGGTCTGAGTTCAAGTCCTGGATATCCTTGTTAATTTTCTTTCTCGTTGATCTGTCTAATATTGACAGGGGGGTGTTAAAGTCTCCCACTATTATTGTATGGGAGTCTAAGTCTCCTTGTAAATCATTAAGAACTTGCTTTATGTATCTGAATGCTCCTGTATTGGGTGCATATATATTTAGGATTGTTAGCTCTTCTTGTTGCATTGATCCTTTTACCATTATGTAATGTCCTTCTTTGTTTCTTTTGATCTTTGTTGGTTTAAAGTCTGTTTTATCAGAGACTAGAAGTGCAACTCCTGCTTCTTTTTGCTCTCTATTTGCTTGGTAAATCTTTCTCCATCTCTTTATTTTGAGCCTTTATGTATCCTTGCATGTGAGATGGGTTTCTTGGATACAGCACACTGATGGATTTTGTTTTTTTATCCAATTTACCAGTCTGTGTCTTTTGATTGAGACATTTAGCCCATTTACCTTTAGGGTTCATATTGTTACATGTGAATTTAATCCTGCCATTTTGATGCTAGCTGGCTGTTCTGCCCATTAGTTGATGCAGTTTCTTCATTGTGTCGATGCTCTTGACCATTTGGTACGTTTTTGGAGTAGCTGGTACTTGTTGTTCCTTTCTGTGTTTAGTGCTTCTTTCAGGAGCTCTTGTAAAGCAGGCGGTGGTGGTGATGAAATCTCTGACTAATTTCTTGTTTGTAAAGGATTTTATTTCTTCTTCACTTATGAAGTTTACTTTGGCTGGATATAAAATTCTGGGTTGAAAGTTCTTTGTTTTAAGGATGTTGAATATTGAACCTCACTCTCTTCTGGTTTGTATGGTTTCTGCTGAGAGATCTGCTGTGAGTCTGATGGGCTTCCCTCTGTGGGTAACCCAACCTTTCTCTCTGACTGCCCTTAGCATTTTCTCCTTTGTTTCAACCCTGGTGAATCTGACGATTATGTGCCTTGGGGTTGCCCTCCTTGAGGAATATCTTTGGGGTGTTCCCTATATTTCCTGGACTTGAATATTGGCCTGCTCTGTTAGGTTGGTTAAGTTTCCCTGGATAATATCCTGAAGAGTATTTTCAAGCTTGGATTCATTCTCTCCGTCACATTCAGGTACACCTATCACACATAGATTAGGTTTTATACATAGTCCCATATTTCTTGGAGACTTTGTTCATTTCTTTTTATCCTTTTTTTCTCCAATCTTGCCTTCTCATTTTATTTCATTGAGTTGATCTTCAATCTCTGATATCCATTCTTCTGCTTGGTCGATTCGGCTGTTGAAACTTGTGTATGCTTCGCGAAGTTCTCATGCTATGTTTTTCAGCTCCATCAATTCACTGATATTCCTCTCTAAGCTGTTTATTCTTGTTAGCATTTCATCAAACCTTTTTTCAAGGTTCTTAGTTTCTTTCCATTGGGTTATAACATGTTCTTTTAGCTCAGAGAAGTTTCTTATTACCCACCATCTGAAGCCTGTTTCTGTCACTTCATCAGACTCATTATCCATCCAGCCCTGTTCCTTGCTGGTGAGGAGCTGTGATCCCTTGGAGGAGGAGACACATTCTGGTTTTGGTCGTTGTCATCCTTTCTGTGTTGGTTTCTTCCCATCTTTGTGGATTTATCTACCTTTGTTCTTTGTAGTTGTTGACTTTCAGATGGGGTCTCTGAGTGGTTGTCCAGTTTGTTGAGGATGAAGTTATTTCTTTCTGTTTCCTAGTTTTCCTTCTAACAGTCAGGCCCCTCTGCTGTAGGACTGCTGAGGTCCACTGCAGGCCCTGCTTGCCTGGGGATCACCTGCAGTGGCTGCAGAACAGTAAGGGTTGCTGCCAGTTTCTTCTTCTGCTATATTTGTCCCAGAAGGATACCCGCGAGATGCCAGTCTGAGCTCTCCTTTATGAGGTATCTCTTTGGATATATGGGGGGTCAGGGAGCTGCTTGAGGAGACAGTCTGTCTTTTATAGGAGCTCAAGTGCTGAACTGTGAGCTCCGTTGTTCCATTCAGAGCTGCTGGGCAGGTTCATTTAAGTCTACTGCAGCAGAACTCATAAACGCCTTTTATTTCCCCCTGGTGCTCTGTCCCAGGGAGGTAGGCAGGACTGCCCTGCCCAGTGAGGAGGCAGCCTAGTCACAGTCTGCCTGCAGAGGCTTTGCTGAGCTGCTGTGGGCTTTGCCCAGCTGCCTTGTGAACTTCCCTGCAGTCCTGTTTTTAGGGGTATAGTTAGAACTGCCTTGGCTATGGTGGCCCACCTCTGTAATGGCAGACTCTCTCTGTAATGGTTGACTACCTCAGTAGTGAGGGACTACCTCAGTAATGGCGGATGCCCCTCTCCCACAGAGCTGGACTGTCCCAGGTTCAGCTGTGCTTGCTGTGAAACTCTCAATCCAGAGCGTTTCAGATTGCTGTTTTTTGTGGGGGTGGGACTGGCCGAGCCTGATCACCTAGCTCCCTACCTCAGATCCCTTTTTTTTTTTTCAGTTGAATAGGTGACTCTGTCTCCCAGGTGTCCCAGTCTCCAGTTGTAATAGCACCCAGATTTGTGTGATTTCTTGTGCGTAGACCTGTTGCACCAGTTGAAACAGCCACTGGAGACTTACGGCACTTTTTCGCTGGGGAATCTCCTGGCCTGGCTCCCTGTTTCAGTCCCCTTTTTCTCAGTTGAACGGGCAACTCTGTCTCCCAGGCATTCCAGTCCCCAGTTGAAAAGGTGCCTGGATTTGTGTGACATTTGTGTTGAGACCCACTGAGCTGGCTAAAACAACTGCACTGGGGGCTTATGGTGCTTTTTCACCTGGGAATCTCCTGGCCTGCCTCCCTGTTTCAGTCCCCTTTTTATCAGTTGAATGGGCGACTCTGTCTCCCAGGTGTTCCAGTTACCTGTTGAAAAGTCACCAGGATCTGTGTTAATTCCCGTGCCGCAACCCACTGCACCAGCTGAAACAGCCGCATGGAGATTTGTGGCCCTTTTTTGCCTGGGAATCTCCTGGCCTGGCTCCCTGTTTCTTTCCCCTTTTTATCAGTTGAATGGCTAAAACGGTGCCTAGACCCTTGTATTTTGTGCAGAGACCCACTGTGCTGGCCAAGACAGCCGTGCTGGTGACCCATGGTGCTCCTCTGCCTGGGAATCTCCTGGTCTGTGGGCAGTAAAAGTTCATGTGGAAATGTAGCGTCCACTCACCCTCCATGCTTTTGCTGGGAGCTGCAATTCTGGGCTGCTCCTAATTGTTCATCTTGAATCCTCTGCACGTGTGTTTTCATAAATTTTGTCCATCTTGCCATTACTTTCAGAATTTTGTTTCTCTCCTCACTTGGTATCTTTCAAAAATACTTTTTAAAAAGTAATTTCTTTTTGACAGCATTGATCCTGAGTTTACAAAGCAATATTTATAAGATTTAGAAATGTGTGTGTGTGTGCATGTGTGTGTGTATATATATATATATATATTTTTTTTTTTTTCAATAAAAATTTTCTTGGGACTGTCAGTAGAATACGTAAGTACATTCACATTGTCTTGTGCTTTTTGTGGCCCTTTGACTCCTTCTATGCCATGTATTTCTGAATATTTACATTTTGCCATAATTCTGTTTTCTAAAACGAAATAATTATACAATAATATCAGTTAGGTTTTGCTGAGTAATAACTCCAAATGTAGCAGCTTAAAACAACAATTATTTATTATTTCTCATGAATTCAGCAGTTCTGATGATATGGACTGGGTTCTACTGATCTAGCTAGATTCACTAATGAATCTGTAATCAACTGGTGGACATCTGGGGGCTAAGTGATCCAGAATGGCCTCAGTTTGGAAGATGTACCTTTCCTTCATGTATCTCTTACATTCCTACAGAGGAGTGCTGTCATGGTGATGACAGGAGTCAGGGAAGAGGCAGAAATCTTTCAACTCTCATCAAATCTCATAACAAAACAAAGTGGATCTTTTTGGTGAGAAACACTGCCAAGTTTTACAGCAAAGGGCATAGATACAGGAAGAGGTGAAGAATGGGATGACCAAGGCATTTGAGCCATACAGGAACAGCCTTGGTGTTTCTTCTCGTCTGTTGGCATACTAATTGTAGTTAGATTGTGATTACAGTTACAGAGTGGTTGATCCACACAAAGCATTTTACTATATGATAACATTTCCTCCTATGGCTTTTAGAAAATCACTATAGATGCTCAAAGTTGTAGTTTTACCACTACATGCATATTTAATGGGAGAGGAAAAGGACAACTGATAGATAATTTAACTTAGAATATCATTACAAATAGAGGAAAATTTGAATGGAAGTGAGTAATGTCAGAAACTCTCCATTCATGGTGATTGATTTTTAAAGCCATTGGGCAGAATGAATGAGAAAGTCAGATAATTTCTCAGTCTAGCTAGATTATGTGAACAATTGCCTTAATACTTTGTTTGGATGTAATGTTATAAAGCTTTGGTTTGTAAATTTACTTTATCCCTCAACCATTTTTTCTCTTGCCTTAAATATATCTGATTTATTATGCAGTATTTATACAGAACAACTCACTGAATTTAAAAAAAAAAAAAAGAAATTTCATGTTTTCCTTTGTGCTCTGAAGCAAGGAATGAGAGCTTTAATTATCTCACTTACATAAACATAATGGGCCATAATTAATTTAGTGCCAATTTTTTTTTTTTTTTTTTTTTTTTTGAGACAGCGTTTCGCTCTTCTTACCCAGGCTGGAGTGCAATCGCGCGATCTCCGCTCACCGCAACCTCCGCCTCCCGGGTTCAGGCAATTCTCCTGCCTCAGCCTCCTGAGTCGCTGGGATTACAGGCACGCGCCACCATGCCCAGCTAATTTTTTGTATTTTTAGTAGAGACGGGGTTTCACCATGTTGACCAGGATGGTCTCGATCTCTTGACCTCGTGATCCACCCGGCTCGGCCTCCCAAAGTGCTGGGATTACAGGCTTGAGCCACCGCGCCCGGCCAATTTAGTGCCAATTATGATGGTCTAAACTTACGGTAAATCCATAGGACCATACTTATAGTTGCTAAGAAAACTTGATTCTTTAATATGTAATATTTAATGTTTTTCTCACTTTAAAAAACATCTTTCCCTCCTCAACATACATAGGGCTTTCTAGAAGCCTCACCAATTTAATTAATGGAGAAAGTCTGATGACCTCTGTTCTATCATCAATTACATTTACTAGTATTATGGATTTTAACAAAGGACTACGCAGTGAAAGGAACCAAACCTTAGGTAAGGATCTTTTTTTTTTTTTTTTTTTAAATACATTTCTTAACATCAGAATCCTGTATTTTCTGAAAGCTGGCATGTATTTTGTAATATCCTACCATAAGTTATATTTGTAGGAATATAATTGTGAGTATTGGTTTAATGACTTACTCTTTACAAAGCACTATTACACATTACTTATTTAATGTTAGTTACATATTTGTTGTGAGGCAGGGTTGAGACTCTTCATGAAGTTACTTATGGGAACAACATTCCACAGTCCTGGGCTGAACCAGAATGCCAGACAACCAGGATGAGAAATGTTCTTTTTTATGTGCTGAAGATGAGCTTAGAAGATAAGCCAAGTAGTGCATCTACTAGTAGTGAGAGGAGGCATCTTCTCTTCCCTTTGCCCTGGGACTATATCATCTCATGCAGGCAACATAGAAAGCTGTCAGGGAGGAAGTGTGAGTTACTAGTCATCTACAGGGCCAAAGAATACTGCTTGTAAGCAGAGGAATTGCAAAGTGCCAGCTATTACGGAAAATGATGTGGAAGTTCCTCAAAAACCTAAAAGTAGAACTCTACCGTATGATCTAATAATCCAACTTCTGGGTATATATCCAAAGGAATTGAAATCATTATGTCGCCCCTGGGATATCTGCACTCTCATGTTCATTGTGGCAATTAAAGATAATGACCAAAAGAAAAATTAACCCAGAATATCAGTTAAAATTAAGGGCAAATTATATTAACTATTTCTTATTTACTCCTCTTTCTTGTAGCTCAAGGCATTGTGAGTGCAGTTTGTTCATATATTATAGCAAGTTTCTGGTTCGGAATTCTAAGTTCAAAGCTGATTCAGTTGTGGATGTCAACTGGTTTTGGTGATGATGTCAATCATATGAGTCTCATCTTTTCAACTCTGTATCTCATCTTTTATATTTGTAAGTGAGAGGCCTACGCCTAAAATAAAATGACATAGAAAACTTTAAAATAAAAATATGTGAAAATACATACCAGGCAAAAGTTAGTAAAAACATTCAACTGATCTGCAAACAATATTTTTATTAAAATAATCTATCAAAAGAGATAAAAATATGAATATACAACAGAAAATAATGTACCAATATTAGCAAATACCATTATAAAAGAAAGGATTTGACAAGAGTATCATTACAGAAAGATAACTTACTATGCTTTCCCAGAGAATTTCATGACTAATTGAACAAAAAATTATTATGGCTATAAAAATATTCAAATATCTTATAAGTTTGGGTTATAAGACATATAGAGTTTTACCTCTCAAAACAGAATGCGTATCCTTTACATATACCAATAGACAATTTGTAGAAATTACATTGAAGAACATTTCAATAAAATTTCAAACATTGTTCAACCATGATACAGTTAAATTAAATATGAACTACAAAAACAGGGCTCCTGCCAGGTGGGGTGGCTCATGCCTGTAATCCTAGCACCTTGGGAGGCTGAGGCAGAAGGGTCACTTGAGCCCAAGATTTCAAGACGAGCCTGGGTAAGATAGTGAGACCCCCATCTCTACAAAAAATTTTAAAACTAGCTAGATGTGATGGTACATGTCTGTAGTCCCACCTACTCAGGAGGCTGAGGTGGGAGGATTACTTGAGCCCAGGAATTTGAGGTTGCAGTGACCTATGATCACATTCCAGCCTGGGCAACAAAGAGAGAAGCCATCTGTCTAACAAAAAGGCAGAGGTGGGCAGTTTCAACCTGTAAATTAGATTTTTTTTTTTTTTTTTTTTTTTGAGACGGAGTTTCGCTCTTGTTACCCAGGCTAGAGTGCAATGGCGCGATCTCGGCTCACCGCAACCTCCGCCTCCTGGGTTCAGGCAATTCTCCTGCCTCAGCCTCCTGAGTAGCTGGGATTACAGGCACGCGCCACCATGCCCAGCTAATTTTTGTATTTTTAGTAGAGACGGGGTTTCACCATGTTGCCCAGGATGGTCTCGATCTCTTGACCTCGTGATCCACCCGTCTCGGCCTCCCAAAGTGCTGGGATTACAGGTTTGAGCCACTGCGCCCGGCCTTAGATATTTTGTCTTGGTAACTCTTGGATCAAAAAGGCAATCAAAATAGAAGTTACATATCAAGTAAAGCTAAATGTTAGAAAATCTGTCATTGTTATTAATCCATGTCCCACAATCACCTCCTCACAGGAGTATGGTAGATATTAATAATTAACCATACCACTGTTTCCTGACACAGCCTCAGAATCACATTTAATTAAGCTCTTCTGACAGCCCTTCATATGATTTGGAGTTGACATACCAGATAATACCTACTTACCACACCTGTACTATGTCTTTCTGTTACATTTAGGGATAAGACAATGGTGCATATTCTCACATTCATGATAAAAATAATTATGAAAGCTCTAGCTAATGCAATAAGGAGGGAAATTTATACATATTTTAAAAGAAAAAAAATTGTTATTAAAGCAAAAGTGGCTGGAAACAAACCTCTTGAACACCGAACTGAGGAAGGAAATGGCTTTTTATTCAGCCGGGAGCTGTGGGGCCTAAAGCCTTACTCACTGCGCTCCCCTAGAAGCAGCTTTCCTCTTTTATAGGTTTACAACACTAAAGGGGAAACTGAGGCAAAACTGTGTCATTGTCCATTGGCTGGACTTTGACCTTACAATCTTTTGGCTTCATTGATTTGCTAGTTCATATGCAGCGAGAGCAGGAGCTGGCAGGGGACGGGCTTACAGAGACAAGACAAAGGCAGTAAATTATTAGCAGAGGTGTTTCCAGGAGGGAGCCTGGGTCGTGCAAATGTGGGGGACATGACCCAGTGTCTGGCCAGTAGTGATAACATTCATTTGCAACTCTTTCAAGGCTTATAGATAGTAGAGGCAGTAGGAACCAAAAAGGGAGTTATCTTCCCAGTCCTTGGGCCTCTTTATGGCCTGGTCAGTGGCATCAGCAAGTCACCTGACCACAGATTCAAGCTCTTTGGTATTTTATTTCTTTTTTTTTCACCCTTCTTCCCATCCAGAGGGAAGGGATGGGAGGAGGTGGAGACCGGGAAGTAGAAGGAGGCAGGGGCATCTCCCTTCTCACCATTAATCATAATATTTTATATCATATAGAAAATTCAACAAAATTAATTGGTAAACAAAGTCAGCAAGACCCTTAAATAGCTTGATATGAGATAAAGTTATCCAAAACAATTGATGGTATCTTCATCAGCCAGCAGTAACTAGCTAGAAAATATGAAAATTTGATTTTTTTATATTGGTATAAAGTTATAAAATATCAATAAATTTAACAAGTAGTTTTGAACTATACACAGAAAATTATAAAAGTCACTAAGAAATATATAATTTGAATAAATTGAAGCATAGAAAAACTTCTCTTCAGAAATGCTAGAGTAATGGGAATGTATTATTTTCCCTCTGAGGAGGAAAAGGCAGAACAGGGTATCTTGAGGGTTTCTAATGAATTAATCAGTTGATTAAATCCAATTATAATATACTGAGGGTTACAGAATCAAGCTAATGAATTAACAGGCAGTGAGAGAATGATCAGTTAATTCAGGTAGGTTCCTCATTTACTAGTATTCATGTGTATACTTAAATTCCTAAAAAATATTCCAACAAATATAATTTCCTCTAACATTGTTTTTAATAAGTAACCCTAGTTTCACAATTAAAGATTATACCCAAGGAAATAATTTTAAACTTTTAGAGTCAAGATGTCTCAATAAACATTTTAGGAAGAAACCTGCCGGGACAGAATTTCATGAAAACAAGATACAGAATAAATATCAGTTTAATATAAAAAGATTTCCCTGTGACCTGGCTTCATGCTTATATAATTAGTATCTTCAAGATACTCATTGTAAATATTTCACCGACACCTAACAAGATATAATACCTCATCCAGGGCTTGATCATTTCAAAGAATCTATGTCTATGATTTCTTCTTTTTTCATGATTCAATAATGACTCTGCTTTTGTTACCATTTCTAGCTAGGACTAGAATAAAAAATAGAAAACTTGTAATTTTCCACCTCTAGAAGAGAAAACTCAATAATGTAATAATAGTATTAATTTCACTAAATTAAAATGTATTACAGTCCAAATCAAACAATGATATAATTTTGGGGGGTTTTAAAATTTCTCTTCCTCTTTCCTCTCTCCTCTCTCTCTCTTTCTCTCTCTCAGAAACAGGCTTTTGCTCTGTTGCCCAGGCTCTGGAATACCATGGTATGATCATGGCTCACTGCAGCCTCAACCTACCAGGTTTAAGCAATTCTCCCACTTCAGCCTCCAGAGTAGCTGGTACTATAGGCATGTGCCATCAAACCCAGCTAATATTTTAAATATTTTGTAGACACAGGGTCACACTAAGTTGCCTAAGCCAGTCTTGAACTCCTGGGCTCAAGCAATGGTCCCACCTACTGCCCAAAGTGCTGGAATTTTAGGTATGAGCCATTGTGCCCATCTACAATTTCATGAAAACAGTTTCAAAAGTTCATCTAGAAAAATTAATGTGTGAGAATAGACGAGACAATTTTTTTTTTAGGTAGCGAACTTTCCCTACCAGAAAGGTATTAAAACATTTAATGGGCCTACAGTAATTAAAATACAACTGTTGTTAACTTAGGAATACAAAGTAAGTCAAAGAAGCACAAAGAATTAGTCAAAGTATGGATGACAATTTAATATATGATAAAAGTAGCATATCCACAATATTCTTTAGTATTAAGAACAAATATTTCAATATTTACTTATTAGCTAGAACTACATCTGATAAGAAAGAGACGTAAGTTGTGGACAAGTTCATAAAGATATCATCAGCTGATTTTTACTTCAACCCTCCAGAACCCATCTGAAACAATCAGACCTCTAAAGGGTGCTCTAACCTCACTGGGGTATGTGAAGCAGTGCAAAGGTGTCCATTGTAGACTTTATAATACAATTGGATATAAGTTGGAGGAAGAAAAAGGACATGGGATGGTGGTAATAATTTGCAATATTTTCCAGCTGAAATCAAGTGAAGTTGCCTCTCTCTAAAATCATGGTACTGTCACAACATCTGATACTTTTAACTCTGGTAAAATTTGTGCTGCTGTTGATGTTAAATTAATACTTTATTTCTTTTAAAAAATAGGTGAGTTACTTGGAATGTCAGGAATATTTACTCTGGCCATTGTAGGACTTCTTTTAAATTCTACAAGTTTTAAAGCAGGAGCTGAAGCATCTCTTGAGTAAGTGCCTAGTACTTTTTCATTTTATTTCATACACTGGAAGGTACAATATTATAATAGTAACAATATCCACATCTACATGGTCAAAGTAAGATTTTCAAAGACTTAAAAACTACCCAACTAAAAACCTTTCCTAGATTTTATTTTTTCTCGCCAGTTCTTTTGAATCTTCCAATTTAAAGCAAATCCATAACCTTACCTTGAGCGCATGCTGATTCTGTTTCCCTGCTAATTCCTTAAGTCTCTGATTATCTGCTCAATAATTTCCTATATAAAATCTTGTACTCACTAGTAAGAGGGTGTCAAAAGTACAGTAATTGAGGAATAATATTTTAATATTTTAATGAAATATTTTAAAATTACGTTTAATTCAGCTGAACTTAATGCCAAAAAAAAAAAAAAAAAAAAAACTTAAGTATTTTAAGGACAATAAGATGCTGTGTAAAGCAAATCCAAAGAGTTAGCCAGGGCATTTGAAGAGGATTAGCAGTGTTCTAAAAGAAAATATGACCAAACTTAATGTAAGCAAGACTATGGGTGGAAAAGTGCAAATTGTGCCTTGCTCAAGGGAACTCAGCTGAGGGGTGAGTAGTTATCAGCCTAGAGGAAGAGCACTTTCTGTAATGCTTCAGTACCTAGGGTGGGAACTGGACATGAACCATATAATGACAACATATGTGTTAACAAACGTTCTAAAAGTAAACCATGGTTTTTGGAGTTATGGGACAATGTTATAGAAGATAGAATTAATTCTGAAGTAATAAGCTTAAAAGATAAAGGGTCTTGTAGGATTCTGGAGCACTTCTGTAAAATTCCATGCCAATTACAATGGAAGCCAATTGTACTTGCACTTAGGCAAAATTAAATGGACCACAGTTGTGGGAAGAATTTAAAATGCTACTCAAGTATTAATTATATATATGGGGAGTGATTCTGAAGGCTTTCCTCATCTTCTTGCTCCAACTATAAGCTGGATCTTCAAATATATTACTTCTCTGTATTCTTCATTCCTTATAAGTTGTGATGTCTCTCTCACTTGCATTCCTAGTACTATTGAGACTACAATTGAAGTAGGTGATCTCTCTGAACCTCAGAGTGATTTCTAAATCATTCTAGTTTCTACTTCCTTAGAAGAATCCAATTTTGAAGCTTGTGCCATCAGAATATATCATCTGCCTGTGGGTTGTGGTTTTTTACAGAACTCTAAGTCACACTCCATTTTGTGAAGATTTTAGTTCCTGTCTCACTCTCCAATATTACTCTATCACCATTCTTAGTGATGTCAATATTCATAGTTAATCCTTCTATTGCCTCATCTTTGAATTCCTGGATCTTCTCTCCTTGTATAAGTATGTCCACCACCCATCTTTAGCCACCCACTCCTATAGTTGTACAAATAACTACTTGTTCAAATAAACTCAATTGCAAGAATCTTACTGTCTAAAATATAGTATATATCAACTTCTACTCTGGAAGAGAGTGGAAATCTAAGATAATAGTGTTAAATCCTAACATCTCAAAACAACCACTAACAGGTCCATATTAACTCTTTAACAGAGAAGGTGTACTATTTCCCATTTTTTCACTGTATGCCCTCTAGTGCCTAAATTCTAACAATGCTTCCACCACGGAGACTAAAATTCATTAATTCTATGATCTTTTACTGACCCTCACCCATCTCATATTTTCAGTTCCTCTTTACCCAGGTCATTTCTTTTGTGTAAAATCATTTAATAACTTTTCATCTTTTTCAGCCACAAGTCAGAGTTGTTTGTAAATGTTTTATTCATTTTTTGAAAATGATTAGCACAATAATTCACATAGATAAGCCTTGTAATAAATATGTCTAATTGATTATAAATATTTTTATTTTTTTCTGAAAATGCAGATTCTGGAATTGTCTGTCATTTGTTGCTTTTCTTATGGTGTTTACTTTCTCTGGACTTCTAATTCCTGCACATTCATATTTGTATATAAAATTTTCTGATATATACTATACATTAAATATCTACTTCACACTGATTGTTATAAGGTAAGAACACCACTAACATTTTTTCATTTATAGATAACTAAGTTTGAAGATCATCTTTTAGATTGAAAAATTGAAATTTTCTAAGGGTAATCAGCAAATAAGTGCTTAGTAATTTATTTTTTTTGACTTTTAACTAAATTTCAAAACAATGCAAACTCTGCATATTTTTTAATTAGAAAAAAACACAATTAACATTTTACATATTTTGTCCAATATTTTTGTATGACATTTCATGGTTAAGTAAATATTATAAATAAAAAATACTGTTTTTGCTCAATATTATATAATTTTCTATTAAAAATTGTAGTTAGAAATTGCTTTCTAAAAATCATAGGGAAGCCCGCTTTGCAAAAGTCTTTTTTTCTCAAATAATTTTTGTAGTTTATTTTTCCACTGTTAAGAGGTAGAAAAAGTCTGTCCATGTAGCTGAAAAGGAGATAGCATACAGTGGGAAAAACCACCATAACTAGTGTCTCATAGTTCTTTAATCTCCATCAATCAAATGGTTGACATTCTGCTTCCATCTAGTTGAATTGTTGAAGGCAAGGCAGCTAGTGTCAAGTAAAAGGAAATTATTTCCCAAATTATCAGATAAAATTAGTATAAAACGTAGGAACATGGGAATGATAAATGGCTGAAGGAAAAAAACAATAAAAAAAAACCTGGCCAATATTGGACCAATTCATCAAGATTAAAATCTATAAAGAAAAAGAAACAGAGAACATTTTCTCATATTTATTAGATTCGTTTTTATTTGGGGTGGGGATTCAGAATTCATGCACAACACATCTCGAACTTTTTTTTCCTCCCGAAGGAACACGGCTCAGAGATGATGTAGAGTTAGTAGAAAGAAACAAAGAACAATGCCATTCTCTTGGCATGTCTCTCTGTGGAATACCTGCTGCCTATCTTTGGTGCCATGTCAACAGTGTGTGAAAGATATCTCATTCGCTTGAGAGTTAGAAATTTTACTGGGAGTAGATTAGAATAGAGTGAAATGGAAAGAAATTCCTATGAAAGTATAACATTCTAAAAATTGTTTTGTCTTTTAGACTTCTGATCCTTCTGTTAATGAGCCCTGTTTTTTCTCGGGTTGGTCATGAGTTCAGCTGGCGCTGGGTATTCATGATGGTCTGGAGTGAAATGAAAGGGACGCCTAATATAAGCATGGCCCTTCTGCTTGCCTACTCTGATCTTTATTTTGCATCTGACAGAGAAAAATCTCAAGTAAAGAAAGCTGTACTTTCTTATTTGAATATTGTATAAAACTATTGCTGTATATTGAAAATAAATTTTTTGTAGTGAGGTAGCTTAACTCCACTCGGGGTGTAGGAGTGATTTAGCTATTATGGCAAGATTGGGGAGAGGAGGAACTGGCAACTTTCCTTCTCCCCATTCTAGCTTAGGAATTCCTAAGTTCCTTCATACTCTAAAAATAAGTTTATTACAAAGATCAAAGTGATTAAAATATCAATCATTTAAAATATTACCAGATACAAAATGTACACTCAATAATGTTTTAATTATGTATTGCACTCAAGAGAAGTAGACTTCTTTTATGGTTGGCCCTATTGCCTTCTATAACTTTATGAGGCCTCATTTAGTAATGCTGTGAGTCAAAACATTTTAATTGTCAGATAAAGGACTCTAAACAGTGCCCTCAAACTCTGCTTAGCAGAAAATGCTGGGCATAATTCTCCTTCTACAATGTGTCTGGGCAAGATAATTACAAGAATCTCTATAAGAAATTTTCTATGCAGGTATCACGGAGCATCTGATGCTTTTATCATCATGGTTTTTTTTTTTTTTTTTTTTTTTAACATAAATCCCAAGTGTAAAACAAGGAGTGGCAAGGTAATTATTACGTGTCTACTTAAATAACACTCAGTCCGAGTATTTAAAATCCAATCCTTAAACTGCCTTTAAAACCAAAATTATCCAATATTGTATGACCTCTCTCTTCTTTTTAATCTATTTCTACATGCCCAAATAATCAAGATCAGTGTAATCACCATACACTGGATCAATGTGGTGGCTAACCTTGCACACATATCTAGGTTCTGAAATTCTTAGTTTAGCTACCATTTACTGTGTGGATATCAGCAGGTTTTTAATTCCCACCTCACCTCAAGTATCAGTTTCTTTACTCCAAGACAGAGTTAATAGTATCAGTGCTTTGTGGTAAATATTTAACAAGTAACTTATGTGTTGAGGTGGGAGGAAGCCCTAATTTGTAATATTTGCTCATTTCTGTTGTGTAATCACTTCCGCCAACAGAACATCAATCAGCTCATAAACTCCCTGAAATTGAATGATGAGCTCTCATGAGCTGGTAACAGCCAGTCTAGCATACAACTCTCACAAAGCATTATTATTATTATTATTTTTACTATTTTTTAAATTGCATTTTAGGTTTTGTGGTACATGTGAAGAACATGTAAGATTGTTGCATAGGTACACACATAGCAGTGTGGTTTGCTGCCTTCCTCCCCATCACCTATATCTGGCACTTCTCCCCATGTTATCCCTCCCCAACTCCCCACTCCCCACTGTCCCTCCCTTAGTTCCCCCACACAGACCCCAGTGTGTGATGCTGCCCTCCCTGTGTCCATGTGTTCAACACCTGCCTATGAGTGAGAACATGTGGTGCTTGATTTTCTATTTTTGTTTCAGTTTGCTGAGAATGATGGTTTCCAGGTTCATCCATGTCCCTACAAAGGACACGAACTCATCGTTTTTGATGGCTGCATAGTATACCATGGTGTATATTTGCCACATTTTCCCAGTCCAGTCTATAATCGATGGGCATTTGGTTTGGTTCCAAGTCTTTACTATTGTAAACAGTGCTGAACATTCATGTGCATGTCCTTATAATAGAACAATTTATAATCCTTTGGATATACACCCTGTAATGGGATTGCTGGATCAAATGGAATTTCTATTTCTAAGTCCTTGAGAAATTGCCACACTTTATTCCACAATGGTTGAACTAATTTACTCTCACCAATAGTGTAAAAGTGTTCCTATTTCTCCACATCCTCTCTAGCTTCTGTTGTCTCCAGATTTTTTAATGATCGCCATTCTAACTGGTGTGAGATGGTATCTCAATGTAGTTTTGATTTGTATTTCTCTAATGACCAGTGATGATGAGCATTTTTTCATGTGTTTGTTGGCCTCATATATGTCTTCATTCATAAAGCACCTGTTCATATCCTTTGCCCAGTTTTGAATGGGCTTGTTTGTTTTTTTCTTGTAAACCTGCTTTAGTTCTTTATAGATTCTGGATATTAGCCCTTTGTCAGATGGGTAGATTGCAAAAATATTTCCCCATTTTGTTGGTTGCCAATTCACTCTAATGACTGTTTCTTTTGCTGTGCAGAAGCTCTGGAGTTTAATTAGGTCCCATTTGTCTATTTTTTTTTTATTACTGTAGCCTTGTAGTATAGTTTGAAGTCAGGTAGTATGATGCCTCCAGCTTTGTTCTTTTTGCTTAGAATTGACTTGGTTATGTAGACTCTCTTTTGGTTCCATATGAAGTTTAAGGTGGTTTTTTCCAGTTCTGTGAAGAAGGTCATTGGTAGCTTGATGGGGATAGCATTGAATCTATAAATTACTCTGGGGAGTATGGCCATTTCCACGATATTGATTCTTCCTAACCATGAGTATGGAATGTTTCACCATCTGTTTGTTTCCTCTTTTAATTCATTGAACAGTGGTATGTAGTTCTCCTTGAAGAGGCCCTTTACATTCTTTATTAGTTGCATTCCTAGATATTTTATTCTCTTTGTAGCAATTGTCAATGGCAGTTCGTTCTTGATTTGGCTCTCTTTAGGTCTGTTATTGGTATATAGGAATGCTTGTGATGTTTACACATTGATTTTGTATCCTAAGACTTTGATGAAGTTGCTTATCAGGTTCAGGAGATTTTGGGCTGAGACAATGGGGTCTTCTAAATATACAATCATGTCTTCTGCAAATAGAGACAATTTGACTTCCTCCTTTCCTAATCGAATACCCTTTATTTATTTTTCTTGCCTGATTGCTCTGGCTAGAACTTACAATACTATATTGAATAGGAGTGGTGAGAGAGGGCATCCTTGTCTAGTGCCAGATTTCAAAGGGAATGCTTCCAGTTTTTGCCCATTCAGTATGATTATAGGCTGTGGGTTTGTGATAAATAGCTTTTATTATTTTGAGATACAATTCCATCAATACCTAGTTTATTGAGGGTTTTTAGCATAAAGGGCTGCTGAATTTTGTCAAAGATCTTCTCTGCGTCTATTGAGATAATCATGTGGTTTTTGTCTTTGGTTCTGTTTATGTGGTGAATTACATTTATAGACTTGCATATGTTGAACCAGCCTTGCATCCCTGGGATGAAGCCTACTTGATCATGGTGGATAAGCTTTTTGATGTGCTGATACAATCGCTTTGCCAGTATTTTATTGAAGATTTTTGCATCTATGTTCATCATGGTTATTGGCCTGAAGTTTTCTTTTCTTGTTGAGTCTCTGCCGGGTTTTGGTATCAGGATGATGTTGGTCTCATAAAATGATTTGGGAAGGATTCCCTCTTTTTGGATTGTTTGGAATAGTTTCAGAAGGAATGGTACCAGCTCCTCTTTGTATGTCTGGGAGAATTCAGCTGTGAACCCATCTGGACCTGGGCTCTTTTTGGTTGGTGGTCTATGAATTTCTGCCTCAACTTCAGCCCTTGTTATTGGTCTATTCAGGGTTTTGACTTCTTCCTGGTTTAGGC